ATTATATATTATTATTCCACATCTGTTGATTTTTTTTTGCTTCATATGTTATAAGTTGTATATTTTTTCCCATTTTCTATTTAATTTTTATATTTTTAAAAATCATCATATATAGTTTAAAGCAGCATGTATAGAAATATTGTATTATATATTATAGAGATAGATATGGTTAGTCCAAATTGTCATTACCCAAGCAAGAAGCAGGTATATATATAAAATGTTTGAATAGAAAGATCAAACATGGGGTGAGCCATCACCATTTTTGGTCTTTTAATTAAATAATTTTGGTTCAAAGTGCAACCCATGTTCTCCTCTTATATACTATTCCCTTACTCTGCAATTGCATCCACCCTGTATAATTGCATCTCTTACTAATATATAAACCATCTGCAAAATGGAACTTTTATTATTTATTTATTCACATTTTTCTTATATATGTCAAAAACATTTTTCTATTTTTCTTACTGATAACAATATTTATTTTTGGTTAAATTATTTTTTATTAAGCCATTTGGTGTCCAGTACAGCCGACTAATAATTTTTAAATTGACAAATTTTTATTAATTTGCAAACTAAAACTTTATTCTATCTAATAAAAATTAAATATCAGAATCTAGGAGGTTGGACTTTTGGTTTTGACTGGTAAAGTACACGTATTTATACAGCTGAAAAATAGTAATTTTATATGGCATTTTTGCTTATAAAGAACTTAATTAAAATGAAATAATAATTATTAATTATCAGTGAAAATGATGCCAGATGAAAAAATAAACAAAAACTCCATTTTGAATTAATTAAGAAAAATAAAAGGGTCGTTATTATTCTCGGGATTGCGTTGCACGTGCCCAATATTAGAAAATAAACCACAGTGACGCTTTTACCCACAGGGTTTCGTCCTGAAGTGACACGCCGCACGAGTGCATTTTAAAACTCGTTTGTCGGTCCCACTAAAACTGATGCCACGTCACCACAAACAATACGATAAATTAAGGGTCAATTAACTCATGAGTTTGGGAGTATTTTGTAGTATTAATTATTATTTTTATTTATTTTTCAAACTGAAACACTAAATTATCATTAATTTAATTAACAAACTGACATATTTAAGCACAAGGCTATGGTTAAATCAACCTTTCGGTAAATTTTTATTTGAACTTTCCTTTTATACATGTGAGTTAAATAATAGATAGGAAGCTTCTCATATGATTAGCATAATAACTAATTAATTTCAATTAATTAATCAAATGTATGAAATTAAGTGTGTACATTAAAAAAGATATATGAAGTTTATAGTGTAAATGAGCCAAGTCATCTCTCCAGCGGTTTAAATTCGGCTCGAAAAAAGTTATTTTCTGACAAATTATTTTACGAAAACAAACGGAATATAACTCTAAAAATTGTTTAAATGTGATTTATTTAATCGATTGGAGTTGGAGCTTAAGATAAGGAGGTTTTTATAAAAATGCATACTCTTTTTGAATTAAGAAATTAATTAATTAAGTAGTAAAACAAGGGATTGGTAGATGCAACCAAAAACAAAAGAAATCCAAAACAAGGAATCAATCAAAGGTCTAAATATTAAAATTAATATTTAATATAGAAGGACAAAGATGGAGCTGGAAATTTTATGGTTGAAAATGTGTTGCCCTAAAGACTAGTCAAGCCGACACAGTTAGTCCCATAGAGGGTCCATATTGCACGTGTGGTGGATGATTGCAATCTATCCCATTTCTCTTCTTCTCAATCTAGAACTTGATCACTTCATTCTCTCCAATCTCTATCGTCTTAATTTAATCACCTCAACTCCTATTGAGCCATAATTATAATGTCTTGGACTCATTCATCTTCAACACGATAATGTATTTATATAATTAATTGCCTGAACAAAAATAATAGCATTATTAAAATAAATTTGCATGTGATTGATAGAGACATTACGTGTCATTTGGTATTTGCCTGTTAATTAATCAAAATCATTCATAATCTTGCTTTTTCAAAACAAATTCACTAATGATAATTTTTATAAAAGGGATATTGTGTAATAGAAATAGAATAAGCCTTCTAAAATAATGTTTTAAATATTGGATTATAAACTCATATATATGCATCATAAGTGCATTTGATTACATTACATTATATTCTATTACAGTTCGCTAAAAGACATTTTAAATGTTAAAGTTAAAGAGATTAATAGAAAATAAAAAGACCTTAGAGTTTTTATGTAGAGATATGAAATAAAGAGTTTCATCGAAATCTTTAGAAATATGTATTTAGATTATAAAACGTAAAGATTTTTAGCGACTACACTTCCCGGATATCTAACTGGCATAAAAGTCATTTTCTACGCTAATTTTGATTTTAGATCAAATTAGAACAGCCTTCTCTAACATCAAAAAGGATAATGAAATATATATATGGAATCAAGTTCCATTTATAATAAAATGTAGCAATATAGGGCAGGCAATATATATAAACATATAGACATACGATGATAGAGTAGGTCGTTCGAACATCAATTTAGACTCCGACAATACAAAAGAAGACGAAAATGTAATTGCTTAATGATTGAGAAACATAACTAGAAACCTTCATTTTCAAGACCCCAATATTTAATTTACAGGTTTATATAAAATTTTTTAATTTTTTTTATGTATTTTGAATGGGGGGCAATTGTTCAAAGTCCAAACCCTAATATGTGGAGCTGATATAAGCTTTAAGCAGTAACACTTAAAGACAATTTGGGGTTGTCATTTCAGTTTGAATCAAATGTATATAAATTTTTTGTTTTTATATGAAAATAATAGAATTGGACCGATCATTTTTATTTTAAACTTTGTGTGTAAGAAATCTGAATCACAGGTAGAGACAACCTGGGAGAAACCAAGAGAGTTTATAAGACACAAGTTAACTTCATCTGAACTCCTCTTTGGACTTTGACCACCAGAAGAGATGTTCTTGTAACCTGTTGTGAGATCATGCATAGTAATGTCTATATATATGAATTTGTAGTTTGGTCACTTGTTTTATTTATGATTTTACGATAGAACAGGTGCAAGGCATGTGCAACCTATGTATTATTTTTTTTTATATTGTTTTTTATTATATTTTTAATAACAGCAAGACTATTAGTTTGTTTGTTATAGAAATTCAAAATTGTCATATTTAGATATATGTAATGTAAATGGCATTTAAGATGCGTTCTATCTTCTCACTTATGTGAAAAATTTAGAGATTTCGAGTTCGAGTTTTCTCAACTACAATAGTTGTTACCAATTTGGTGAGAGACTACCTCTCTTATGTAGCCCCCAATGTTAATTTGATACATTTAACCTCCTAATAAATCGAAAAAAATTTATCTAAAAATAATAAATTATGGTGATTTAACATTAATCGTAATGATAATCATCCATAATCAATGGTTGTTCTAAATGCATATTTATAAAGTTATAAAATGTCTTTTTTCTCTTCTAAAAGGGAAATCATTTTCTTTTAAAATACATAGTTTGATTTAATTTTCCATTCAACAATATAATTATTTTCTGTTATCATTGATTAATTTTTCTAAGCAACTTAAACATAAAACATCTAATAAATATTTTCTAATAAGTTATATTCTGGAAACAAATGGAGTTGTAAAATCAAACCGTCTGATCAGTACCTAAGTATTTAAATTTGGTTAATTACATCTAAAAAACATGCTTAAACACGGCAAAAGCTCATCCAATGAATTTGAAAACAAAAAAAAGGGAAAAAAAAAAACAAATAAAAGAAGCTTTCTTCAAAGTTTGGAATTTAATTCCTTGTAGACTTGACTCTTTGAGCAATGGAAGCCCCACCAGAGGCTCTTATACTTAAAATAAAATAAAAGAATAATAATACAGTTTGTCTTTCTGTGTCACAATACATACACATCTAGACAAAAATATTTTTTAATTAGAAAATGTTGAAATATTCTTTACAACTTTCTCCCGACCAAAAGAAACTGAATTGTACATAAATACATACTTTCTTTTGCAAATTCTGTATAAATCTGTTATATTTATATACATTGAGTGCAGGGTCGGTCCACTGCATGACCTGTTTTTATCATGTGACCAAAGTAATACCTCTTTTTCATGACCAAATTTTGTTATATCAACATCTTTGATCATTACGTTTTTTTTTAGGAACTCTATGTACATATATATGGCCAAAATGATGTCAAAATTGATTAATTAATCAGTTTTAAAAAATTTATTTTCATTTTTAATAAAAACTCTTGTGATCGAAATACTCGAACTTAACTTTCACTTCTCGTTCAAATAAGATAAATTTTTTTTGTTCTCTTTGGTATAACCATATGCAAATTGCATATTAGTAAAATTGAGATATTGTCTTAAACACAATATTTTTTTAATAATATTATCAAGGAGATTATTATTTTAATTTGATTAAGCAATATGTTAATTAATAATGCGTGTTGAGTTTGGTTTTCTACTTTTTCTTGGATGCTATAAACCCTAAGTAGGGTGGCCTAGGAATAGGAGTGGCAATTGAATACAGCCAATTTATGCATAGGCACTAGCCCACTACCTTTTTTCAGGTAGGTAATAGTGGTGGGGAAGCTTAGCCCATTACTTACAGTTATAAGGGGAAAGTTAAAGCCTTTTTTACATTATACAATATTTCTTCTTCATAAGCTTGATTGTGGGAGAGGCAATCCTAATTTTATTTATTATAATTAGATGCTTCATGGGAAATCTTCATGTCTGCCTCACAATACCAAAGATAGAGGTGTTAATGTCATTACCTAATTAATGTCAAATGCTTTTTCAATCATGATGATTTAGCAAAACCATTGTTCTGAAAACTGATTCGACAGGTTTAACTGAGAACCGAAATATAGTCATGTCCGGATGGCTTCAAAAACCGATGTAAACTGGGGAAAACTACCAACTACAAAAAACATTGATATCATCCAGAAGATTTCACATTCGAATTGCCATTCAGGAGAGATAAGATTAATGGGAAGACGGTTCTAATCATTGCAAGTTTCTGTATAACTACTGCACAAATTCTGAATGTGGCATTGCAGAAGCAAAATTGGCATTACAAATAAAAAAAATATATTTTACATGTTATCAGATAAAAACTGATGTGATAATTGACATTTTAATCATCTAAAAATGACTTCACCATCGTTCCCAGGCAAAGATTTGAGTACATCTCGTAGTGCATAGTAATGGCTATCACACTTGTGGTCTGAAATTATGTTGCTTGTGAGTACTATCCTCTGGAACTTTTCACCCGGATGCCTCTTCCACAGTGTGAAAAATTCCACCTCTCTGCCATTTCTGCAATAAATGTGTGTGTCGATGTTTCGCTTTAGATAGTAAACGGTACCTGGAACAAACAACTCCTCTGGCTCTGTAGAGGCAGGTCCATCCTTTTTGACGCTGATATCACTGTCGTTTGTAGCTTTGGAAGGTAAATTGATTCCCGGAGAAGTGAGTGATTCCTTATCGATAACAGCATCTGTATTAGATACCGAAGGAGCATTAGGTGAAGCAGAGAGGAAAAACTTAGCAATTTAGACAACAGAGAATTGCGAAAGGGAAATGAAACTGGAAACTTCAGGTTTCAACTTTAATTTGCAGCTCCATGTTAACTTGCAAAACTCTATTCCAATTTTTGCTATAACTTTGATGCTTAAATACCAAACTATAATTTATAGTCACCAGAACAGCCACAAATATCAAAATCTGGTAAAGCATATCTTAATTTACAAATCTCAAATGCCTATGCTATAAGTTCAAAGACTAGCTCACAAATTTGGCAAACCCTGTATTTCCATAAATACACCAGGAACATTATGCCCTTCATCAAAAGGATAACCGGGCAAATAGAACAGCTAATATTAATAAAACTGGGGACCAAGGTGCAAGAATAAACCATTTGATTTTGGGAACATCTGGGGACACAAGACAAGCTTACCAGGAGAAATTTTCTTGCTCCTGAACTTTGCATAATCAGCGAGTTTTCGAGCTACATCTTGCACAGATGACACAACCTGCTTTGCATTTGTGACCAAACCTATGACACTTCTCCAGTCCTCCTTTTCAATCACACTCATCCTGTTAAGATAGCAAAGCACACTGAGGATGAAAAAATATATATATATATATATATAAATTCCCAAGTGAAACTAGCTTCAAAATCAAAAACTTCAATAAAAAATTATGCAACCAGTCAATGATGGATATGTTGAAAAATGTTCCTTGATAAAATGTTTTCAGTTAGTCACCAATTTTCATAAGCTAGTTCTCAAAATTATAAATAAAATACTTAGGGAACTTGTCAAGTAAAGAATTCTTGGAGAAACAGCCAGAGGGAGACAGAGAGATACGCATCCCACCTGTGTACAAGACATGCAAACTTCTCAAAGAGATGGGTAATAAGAAGCCATAGCCAGAGTTAAAAGGAAAGTTATACAAAGCAGGGAAATAGGGAAAACCAACACTCTTTGACTACAGCCGTACAAAAGTGGAGTCTTGGAAAAAGGATTTTGGAATGGTCCTGCTATATTGCTGTCAAGGCTTATGACTGCATCTTAAATAGCCACAGTATGGAAGCTGGTTATGATTTATATCCTACTCATGTTCCTATCAAACATCATCTATGAGCATTTAAGGAAAAAAAAAAGCCTTGCAATTACTTGGAATCCAGACAAATAATTCCATAATACCATAACTGGGTTTTTTGGTAGGGTACTAAAACAATTAACTTTTATAAATATAAGAATTTTGGATTCCACTTCCATAGGATTATAGGTAATAGTTGATAAACCTCATTCCTCTTCACTTGGTGAAAATAAAATCATGATATACCGTGTAAATCTAGGAATGTTCTTTGTGAATAAGAAATTTGAGCAATCATTCAATCTCTCTCTCTCTCTCTCTCTCTCTCTCTCTCTTCAAAATCATAATAAACTTGATGGTTTCACTTTAAGGGGAAACAAGAAGGAATTCAGAGACAGAAGAAGAAGAAGAAGAAGAACGTGAGCTTTTATATTAGGCCATAAATCCTTAGAACTAGATTTTGCCTATTCAGCCTGAATGAAGCAGGGGAAATGCATTATTTCACCCAATGCAAAGAGCATAAACTACTGGATTAACATACAAAGTGCATAAGATATTGGATTAACATATGCCTTTTAGTTTCCCCAATAATTTCAGAGTTTCAAATGTCACTTATCTTAAATCCAAAAATCCACAAAAAAACAGTCTCAAAAGTTCGAACCTCCCAGAACTGACGACCTAAACAAGTCAAAATGCTTGCATTATGAAGTAACAACACTCAGTTCTATTTCTTCATGCATTTAAAATTTAACTGCCTTTGCATTCACTTACCAATCAGTCTCAAGAATTTCGTTCCTCAGCCTTCCTAGAGAAGCTGCGCTCAACCTAGGTATAATATCATCCTACAAACACGAAAGTTGGGAAGCAACAAGCGTTAAGGGAAGAAAGAAGTGGCAATGACTAAATCAAGGAAGAACTAATGAGGTGAGAAATCTTTCATTTTTTTAATTCTAAAGGGGGAAAAGAAGATTCTCTAATCAACAGAACCAACAGTTAATCAAATACATCTGCCCACCTGCATTACAACAGTTGTAATAAAATCAGCACAACTTTCAGCAAGTTCTCTGGAGACACATGGAGGAGTTGCGTAACCAACAGCAGAAACAATATCAGGGCTAAACCCCAGCTCCTCAGGTGACCTTTTACGCAGCATGATTGCTAGCAAAGAAGCTGTAGCAGCTCCAAGAGAGTGACCCACTAACCTTAACCTAAATCCCTGTAGATGAATTAGGTTCATCAAATTTGGTTATACATACATATAAACACAAAAAAGAGAAGGGCATTTGGGGTGGGGCAGTGAAAGAATCCCAAGCAGCAAAGTGGAATAGATGAAAAAAAAGAGCATCAGAGGTCACCACCTTATATTTCTCTAAGAGCTTTCTTATGGTTCCCATCTCATATTTAAGAAACCAACGAGCAGCTTCTGCTGTGCCAAAGTGGGTTGAATACCCTTCAAATGTGACTTCTCCATCACTTGAAGAAACAATGTCTGTGATGAGGTCGTATACTGTATGTGTTCCACGAATTCCCAGAATTATGAGTTTCTTGCGAGGATCAAGCCCTATGTAATATCCAGGCCTCATCACACTGGAATCATTTACAAATTTAAGAATGTTACTTTCGCGAAGCATGCTGTTCCTTGCAAGCCAGAAAGCACTATCTTTATATGAACCTTTTGCTAACTCAATGTGGTAGATGAGATCTTGGACCTAAATCAGAAGATAATTACTTCATATAAGCTCTACCCTGTAATGCAATTACAAAATATTTACTCAACGCGCAACTTATATACACAAATACAGAAAAAGATAAAAAAAAAAAATTGTAGAAACACGTTTCATGCTGAAGATGCAAATATTTTCTTCAGTACTAAAGTTTTTGAAATTACTATTAACTCTGAAGAGATTTGAACCCCTTTAATATCTTCAAATGGATTTAAGGATGATTGACGGAGATAAATAAGATATAGGCCTATTGTAAGATCACTCAAGGTCCAACCCTCAATCCCAATCTTGCTCCGCTGAATGCTTGAAATTATCTCTGTAAGAGATCGACCGCTAGGAGGGATTTTGTTTCCGAATCCATTCCCTGCAAATTTGAACATCCAATAACCCTCCATGACCACAATGCAAACTAGAAAACTGAATCAGGCGGAGTGTTTCACATAACACTGGGACATTCCAATTATATTAATATCAAATCAGAAATAACAAATGATTTTTGGCCATAACGTAACTCGATAGGGGCAGCAAAAAAATCAACTTTCAAACAAATTAAGTTCATTAAAACAAAGATTATGTCGCAACCATTTCAGATAGGGAAAAGAACAGAAGGAAAAAAAGCTAAAAAATTTTACGAGAATCATAATTCGACAGTAAGAAATAAGAAGTTTAAGCTCACTTACATAATTGCAGAGCTGGTTCAAGAGCCCTAGTAAGCCAAGCAAGCTCTAATCTCCACTTTTTATCACTGATGTCATCACCAGAACTATAATTTCCAAATCCAGAATCAAAATTTGTGCTCTTGTCCTCAAGTATAGACCTTGAAGAAACTTGAGATGCTTTCTTTGCTTCATTCAGGACATTTTCTGGTTCTTCCTTGTCAAGCTTTGAAAGTTTTGATTGACACCTGCTTAGAACTCCAAAAACAAACCTTTGGTACCTTTCTTGTCTCTTTATCAAACTTTTTGTGTAGCCTATAAATAATTAACATTTGCACTAGTATAATTAATTATCCAAAAACTTACTATAATCAAATCAAGAAAAAGATCACACTTACAAAAATCATGAAAGAAGCGTTTTAGGAACCGATTAGCCATTTTCCAATTGCGGTGACGCCGTGCGGTGGCGGAAGTAGAAGTACGGAAACGATCAAACCAAAAATTCAGTTTGAAAAACAAAAATAAAAAAGAGAGGGTACTTTCGATGTATGTTATGAATAAGAGGGTAATCATAGTTGGTCGATTTCTAAATATACTAATTAATAAAATGGGCCGAAATTGGATCAGGCTTTTGGGCTTTGATTAGTCGGATGCTTTATTTCACTCCTTGGCAACAAATCCAAAAGGGAATTGAAGAAATACGGCGACATCTCGCGTCTTCTATCAGTTTCCTTTGTCTATAAATAACTCTATCTAGGGTTTTTGGTTCTCGCTCAATGCCAGTTTATTTTGCGCCGTTTTTGTTATTGTAAAATCTTATTATTATTTTCAATTTAAATTAGGGTAATGAGAATGAGGTGATGATTTGATATGTTTCCCTATTGGTTTGATTGCCAATATGATGGCAGTATTAGCTCTATCTGATCATTCTCTTTCACATAGATGATACTAATTTTCTTGTTTTATGTCTAAGAAATGGATTTTTATGAGAATGAGATGATGACTTTGTTTGTTTCCCTATTGGTTTGATTGCCGTAATGATGGCAAATTCCAATGTATTAGCTCTATCTGATCATTCTCTTTGGCTTTGAACTTGCGAAATTAATGTTTTTTAAGAAATAGTAGTTTTTGGGTTAAGTGATGAGGAAGGATGACACGATGACTATGATAGGTTTCCCTATTGGTTTGATGGCCGAAATGATGGCTCATTGCTTTGTATTAGCTCTATCTGATCATTCTTCTTATTGGTGGTTTGTTGTTTTGAAGAAAATTGCATTTTTCTTTCTTTTTATAAAAAGACTTGCTTTCGTTTTGTATCTTGAGGGTTATCTTTATGATATTGCTACTTTACTGCAACAGTTCATTTAATTGCCTTGGTTCAACTGCCACTTGAAATTTGATCTGGGATCTTTGTGAAATTGTTGTTTCACTGATTTATGTAGTGTAAGACCTTTATGCTTGATATTAATCCATCTTGAGTCTGAGAGATTGGGTCATTGTTTTCAGATCATAGAATAAGCCTTGAAACCGAATCATAGAATAAGTTGTATATTGCAGGATTGTTCGAATGGCAAGAGCTTTGTTATCTTGAACTCCAATTGCAGTAATATCGAAAGGCAGGAGCTTTGATATCTTGAACTCTTGTCATAGAATAAGTTGCATATTGCAGGAATGTCGGAAGCTTTTTATCTTGAAGAGGTGTTGATGGGCATTTGATGCGTGATTGTCTGCTCTGACAGAGGCTGGCATTTCAAGCTGTGATTTTGATATTGAGGAGCCTGTTTGGCCTGTAAATGTTTGTTTGATTATTTTTCTACTTGTATATGTAATTAATTTTATGATTTGTATTGAAACACAACATTAATAGATTTAAACTTTGGTCATTTATTCTTATTTATATTCATTTGAGAAATGTTCATGAACTCATTTACAGATTTTAATTAAGCAGTCCTCAAGCCATAGTCTGAGTTGGGGGATACCTTTAGACTTAGAAACACTGGTTACACCATGGTGACAGTTTGTCTTTCAAAGATCAACTTAAGTACTTCAGATTGAATAAATTTATAGTTGTGATTTGGTTTTATTTTGTATTTGGATTCATTTATTTTTATCAGTAACAACATTATATTTTTGTACATTGACGTTTTACTACATGATTATAAATTATTAGAAACAATAAATAATTATTAATGTATTTTTAATTGCTGCCAAAAATTATGCTATTAGTAATGGTTAGCAGTATCAATTATAGCAATTAAAACAATTGGCCAAAATTATTGGCTAAAATTATTAAAAGGCCAAAAGTTCAGGTTTTATTTTTTTTTTTTAGTCATTAGGCCTAAAATTAATTATAATTTTCTTATTTTGATGTTTTTGTTTTTTAATGATAAACTACAATGATAAAATAATATAAAAAACAAAAACATATTTGAGTTTATTAGAAATGAACAGAAAACTGAATAAAAAAACGGGCGAAGAGTGTTGATTTTTATGTTAGTTTGAACAACCATTTTCTTCCTTTTGGTACATGTATTGTGAGTGTAGGATCAAGCATGTCCAATTTTCTTGATCTACACCTTCTTCTCCTGACACGAGTTTCCAAGCTGTGGCGTTGCGTAGCTCAAAAGCCATCTACTTCTTGTAAATTATGCACACCGAGAATACAATAACCTTGACAACGTTTCACTTAGATGTCAGTTTCCTCTCTGCAAATTCAGCACCAAAATGCTATAAGATATACCAGAGTTCAGGCACAAAACCAGCTAGCTTCAGCTGCCCATCCAATTCAATCAGCAACGAGTAAATCTCATTAGAAGCTGGGTGAGATTTATCAGATGCAGCAAATTGATGCACTTTATTTTTCAACTCGATCCAACTAGATCCAGGACATCGCTTTTCTATGCCTAGTTTCCTCATGGTCTCTCTTGTCTTTGCAGCCTCGCCCCACCTATTAACTTCAGCATACATGTTAACCAAAAGACAACGATGTCCAGTATTGCCTGGCTCCAAAGCCACTAATTCATTAACAGCAATTTCTGCAATCTCCAAGTTCTTATGCAGCTTACATCCACCCAACAATGTACCCCAAATAACAGCATTTGCTTCAAATTTAATATTTCTTATCAATTCTAATGCTTCTTCAAGTAGCCCAGCTTTGCTTAATAGATCAACCATGCATCCATAGTGTTCAACTTGAGGAGGGATAGAGAAGTCACGTGTCATGCTCTCAAATCTCATACGGCCTTCTTCGACAAGCCCTGCGTGAGTGCAGGCAGTTAATACACTTATAAATGTGATGCTGTTTGGCCTAATTTTCTCCTCGTCCATCTTTTGAAACATTTTTAGCGCTTCTTTTGCATATCCATGAACTGCAAGCCCTTCAATCACTGAATTCCAACAAAACAAATTCTTCTTGCGCAACTTGAAGAACACCAAAAGGGATCTATCTAAGCTCCCACACTTTGCATACATATCGATTAATGCAGATCCTATATATACATCAAGGTCAAATCCATTTGACATTACAAAAAGATGCATTTCCTTCCCTAAGTCGAGAGCTCCGAGATGAGCACAAGCTGATATCACTGTTGCCATAGTCACTTCATCCGGGCTAATTCCATTTTTTATCATCTCATTAAAAACTAACAATGCTTCTCTAAATTTCTTATTCTGAGAATAACAATTGATCATTGTTGTCCACGAAATTATATCCCTTACAGGCATTTGATTAAACAAAAACTCTGCCGATTCCACATCTCTCAATCTTGCATATCCATCAATCAAAGTATTCCAAGTAGCAGTATTCTTTTCAGGCATCATATCGAACAATTTCCTTGCAGAACTCAAATCCCCAAACCGAGCAAGACCAGAAACCATAGTAGTCCAAGCAAAGGCATCTCTTTGAGGCATTTCATCAAACACTTTTACGGATTCCTGAATTCTGCCCATTCTTGAATAAAACTCAACCAAAGAAGTTTGAACAAACACATGAGATTCAAACCCATTTCTCCAAATGTGACCATGAACAACTTCCCCAAATCTTACTTCAGATGCTAAACTGCAAGCTTTAACTAACGATGAAAATGTGTAACTTGAAGGCAAGATTTTGGCTCTTATTATGTGCTTATAGAATTCAAGGGCTTGAATTGGGTAATAGCACTGTACAAATCCTCTAATCATCGCATTATAAACAAAAACATTGGGATTTTCCATCGGGGTATAGGCTAAAACTGCAAAATCTATATGGTTATATGTTGAACAAGCGGAAATAAATTGGTTCATCAAGAAACAGTCTTGGCTTGCATTGGTTTTGATCATGGTGGCATATACACATTCAAGCTCTTCTAGCTTAGAGCAATTCTTTAATTGGTTAACAATGGTGTGTTTTTGAGAGAGCGTTTTAGCTTGTTGAGAAGGTTTTGGAATTAAAAAGGGGTGACATGCGATTTTCTTGTATTTGGCTAACATCGGTTACTGGTTGTTACATCACTGTATCAGTTTATCACAAATATAAATATAAACAGGAAGAAAGCGGGAACGGGAGAAAAACTATTTCAAAATGGGAATTTTTGTTTTTTACTTCTATTTAATTTATTTTTCATTTTATTCTTAAATCCCTTTCTTACCCCTGTCCTACCCACTCTCTACTGGTAAACCCGTAAATGGAATTGTAAATATAAACAGATCGGAGGGCATGTTTCCCTCTAATTAAGTAATTATTAGTATTAGTGATTTTATTACCACGATTTTACTCTTAAAACCAGCAAATTAAGCCTTCCAAGTTTCTCTTTCCCTGTCGTGATTCGTGAAGCGAAAAAAATAGAGAGATACGCTGCTCATCTCTCTCTTTCTGTCCGAAAACCAGAAAATCTTTTTTAAAAAATGGGTTTCACTCTGTTTCTTGGTAGAGTTCTTTTGCCTCTGTTTTCATACTTTCTGCTTACCAAGAGTAAGTTCTTAATTAATCTCACATTATAATATATATATACATATATATTAGAAATGCGTCTCTTACTTGCTTTTATTTTCATTCTATTTGTTTTTCCGGATAAAAAAGAAATATTTTCTTTCACGGGTTTAGGGGCTTTTGCATTTTTGGTATGCTCTGGATTCATTCATGTTTCTGGTCTATAATTAAACATTATATTTAATTTTTTCTTGTACACTGGCAAAATGACGAGGTTTGAACTTTGACAGATCATGTTATTAGACATGCTAGTTAAATGGCATAATTGAAAATTATAAATGGTGCTGTTTTCCTGTTAAATTATTATTGTTAGTTTAGTCAAAATCACAGTCTTAATGCTTAATATTAAAGGATTTGTGTCTTAAAATGCTTATTTGTTTTTGAATTAATATCTTTTACAGGGAAAAAAATGGAACTTTTGTCTTGGATGCTATAACGGAAATTAGAAAATTTTAATTTACATATTTTGTTTCTCTGTTTAGATTGCGGTTTATCTTACTGTAAACACAGTTATTGAGGGTGTAGCAATTAATGATGGCTGCCGCGGGAAAATAACAAAAGCTTTGCATGGATGCAAAAATAGATTATTCTATCTGCTTATCTTCTTATGGGCATTAATGGGTGTTGTGCTGTGTTAGATACACTAATGGGTCCTCAACTACGAGCTTGAAGAACCCATGGAGACTCTAGTTTGTACTAATGAACACATGATGATAAAATTCTGCTGTTACAGGTTTAATGAATTTGGTGTTGATGGGGGATCAGCAGTGAGAATTCTCAAACCAAAGTACAGTCAGTGGCACTTTCCTGTTCATATTATAATTTCTCTGTTTTTTTTTTTTTTTTTACTTTTTGTCTTGGATGCTATAACGGAAATTAGAAAATTTTAATTTACATATTTTGTTTCTCGTTAGATTAGCGGTTTATCCTTTATGTAAACCACAGTATTGAGGGTGTAGCAATTAATGATGGCTGCCGCGGAAAATAACAAAAGCTTTGCATGGGATGCCAAAAATAGATTATTCTATCTGCTATCTTCTTATGGGCATTAACATGGGTGTTGTGCTGTGTTAGATACACTAATGGGTCCTCAACTACGAGCTTGAAGAACCCATGGGACTCTAAAGGGTTGTACTAATGAACACGATGCATGATTAAAATTCTGCTGTTACAGGTTTAATGAATTTTGGTGTTGATGGGATCAGCAGTGAGAGATTCTCAAACCAAAAGTACCAGGTCAGTGGCACTTTCCTGTTCATATTATAATTTCTCTGTTTTTTTTTTTTTTTTTTTTTTTTTTTTTTTTTTTTTTTTTGAAAAACAAATTTTCAAGAATTATCATGGATAAAACCTTTGTTTATTGTTCTTTAAAAAAAAAAAAAAAAAAAAAAAAAAAAAAAAAAAAAAAAAAAAAAAAAAAAAAAAAAAAAAAAAAAAAAAAAAAAAAAAAAAAAAAAAAAAACGCTATCGTATTGTGTTTCTCCCGTGTTTGCTCATGGGAATTACATGATATCATAAACCTTGCAATTTTTCCATCTTTCTTTTTATAACTCTGAAAGCACTCTTGTTTCTTGTTATAATTTAAGATAGGGCAGGGGACCTCTCTATCTTCCAATATTTATCTGAGCTGTATGAAAAGTTCGCATAGATATATGAGTTTTCCGTCCGAGTCAAAATGGGTTAAAGTAGCTCAGTGGTTCTGCTATATATTGCTCCTTCTGCCATTTAAGGACCGCAAGACTATTTTCTGTTCCGAATTTGACTCGAGTTTAGCTTGATAAACTAGGTGAATAATACCAAAATTGTCTCTAATACTGTGAGATTGAGAGTTTGAACCTCTGCGTCGAAGTTAAATTAACCTTAAAAATATATGATCAAACTTTTTTTTTTTTTTTGTTTTTAACTGATATCATTAAGAATGAACTCGATTCCATTCTCATTTTAATAAAAAAATGTCAATCACAAATTTCCGCTAGTGAAAGACATTACTTCTGAAAGTTTGTCCCAAGTACTCATAGATATGTCTTGTTCAAGGGATCCACATATTTTTTGTAGCTATGGTTGATAATGACTACTTGTGGCCTAATGTTTCAGGGTCTCTTAGTTGTTTCTGTTGTGGGCTAGCAATTCTGACATGGGTGAGTTTGTCTCTATTTTAGTGTTTTGAATTTGATTTCTACTTTTTGTTTTCATCCCTTATTTTTTGTTAGTTGTCTTCTGTTTTTGGATTTTAGTTTGGTTTTGTCCGGCTCTGTTATACAGGTTTGGGACAGTTGTACCGTTCAAGTCTCAACTTTTTCAATTCCAATGTTTAAATTTTGTTTCTTACTTGAAGGGATAAGTATTCGTAGGATAAACCTAGAGGTAGTTCGATAACATTATCTGTTGCGGCAGCAAATACTTATTTTAATAGTGTGTAGCTGATTGAGTCTGTTGTTCATGAAATGATAAAAACTAAACGTCGTATGAATTAACTTTTTATAAAACGCTATATGAATTTCTTTAAAAATTAGTTTAAATGCTGTGTTATTAACTACAAAAAATAACATTTAACATTTTAACAGGTCAAAATATTAAAAGCAATTTAAAAAGTCATTACCTAACACAGCTTTAGAAGGATTTAAGAAATGAACCACCTTATCTCACCCTTTCTCTTGGTCATCTCTTTCAAGTTCACACTTTCTTGTATGTGTCCTCTCGTTATTGTTGAAATGTTCTTCGGAAATGAAAGAAGTTTTGAGGAAGTTTTACACCTTCAGGGAAATATATATAATATTATTATATATATATATATATATATATGTGATAATTTTGTATTTCTTCCATCCAAGTTATATAGTTTATCGATCAATATATGTGATAATTTTGTATTTTCTTCCATCAAGTTATATAGTTTATCGAATCAACTCTAAAAAAATGTTTTTTTATTCGAAATATATTTATTATCTAATCAAATAATTATATTTTTTTTATTTATTAAGAAGTTCACTATAGAATGGTCTTTTTTATGATACACCGAATTGATAAAAACTATTTTGATCGAAAGGATTCGAATTTGAGAGATCAACTATATCACACTGAATTGAATAATCAATAATTACATTATATTCTATTAAATAAGTATGAAATATGACATGATAAAAAATTACATTTACTTCTAATATCAAATTGTTATAATTTGTCTTTTCATAATAAAATTTCAGACAAAACAAATAACAATCTGCGTTTCGTGGTGTTTGTAGAGTGTGACAACTCGAGGAAATTCATATTATTGAATACCCATTATAGAATTAGATTTTTGTCTCCAACCATAGGTCTGTACTGGAGAAATGCATGTCCACTCCTTTCCTATTTGTTTCTAGGTGTAAATACATTGTTTTACCTTTATTATGTATTGCAAATATTTAAAAAAATATGGAGTTAATAATTGAATTTACCTTGCTCTGTACTGTGAATTATGGAGTTGGAGATCAACTTGTATTATGATGCTACATATCAATGAATTTTTGTTACACGATTGAATAGTTTTTCCTTTACTGCGAGCTGTATGATTCTTCTTATTATAGGAATATCTCTTTCTATGTTAAAAAAAATTAATTCAGAAAAACTTGGTTAATGAATAAATCATACGAAAATAACGTTGTAGGTCGAAATTAAACTTATTTACACTAGCATTTGAAAATTTAAATTAAATTGAAATTCACTTAACAAACAAATATATGTAGTTGAGTTAATAAAAATAAATGAGATTTTGCCTTTAAGATAAAAAATTCATAACTTTTTATAAGAATCGAATATCAATTACGCATTTCTTTTAAAATTTGTTATCCATTAAAAAGAAATTGAAAATTTTCAAATTCTACGAATTCAAGAAGGTCCATCGGAATTGAATTATCGGGGGAGGACATCTTGTTGTGATGTTTGGTCCTGGACCAACATTTTTTCACCATGTAAGAGTACATTAAACCTCATTATTTTTGTCTGCAAATAGAGATCTCATAAGGCGAAAGATTTGAAGGAAAAGACATTTCTCTTTCGGGGAATTCAGAGACAAAATAGTTGTAGGAAAAGACATCTTTTGCTTCACTCATGCAATATGTGCAGTAAACATCTCAAGATGAAGATTTTTATAAAAAAGCCAAAATTAGATAACATAACTTCTTTGGCTTTTATTGATGGATTATAAGGATATATATTATTGAAAATTAAAAAAAAATGTTAATTAATGTACGATAAAAATCTCAATCAATAATTTTTATTGAGCTTCTGGATGATTAAATCTACATTCTCGTGGGTTAGATGAATTCAGGTTACCATCCTTATCCAAAATATTTCAAGAATGCTGGCAAAGGAAATGTACATTCCTTGTTCGAAAAGCAGTTAGGGTACCATAATATTTTCCTCCATTGAACTTGGGCATCTAACTTTTTTTTCCTCCATTTAACTGCATATATTTACAGGCAGCTTTCTTTCGCTCTTTTCACCCCATCACTGACTGCCCATCATTTTAAAGGAAAAAAAAACATGGAAGTAATCAATTCCACTGCTACAGATTCACATGTTGAAGATGATAATAGCTCTATCATCTACAACAAAGCTGAAGAAGTCAAAGTGTTTGATGAAACTAAAGCTGGTGTTAAAGGGCTAGTAGATTCAGGAATCTCCAAGATTCCTAGGTTTTTTATTCACCCACCAGAGAATCTTCAAAAATCATGTTCTAGCAGCCTCCTGAAAGTTCCGGTGATTGATTTCGAAGGATTTGACTCTTGCTGGCGTAGAAGGGAAGTGGTTAATGAGATTTTGAATGCAGCAGAAACATGGGGTTTCTTTCAAATGGTAAACCATGTGATTCCAGTAAGTGTTCTTGATGAAATGTTGGTAAGTGTTAAAAGATTCCATCAGCAACCACAGGAGTTGAAGATGGAATGGTATTCAAGGGACTCTAAGCGCAAAGTTAGGTATTTCTGTAATGGAGATCTTCTTGTTAATAAAGCACCTGCAAACTGGAGAGATACTATAGCTTTTGATTTTCAGGATGGGAAGCTAGACCCTAATTTCTACCCCCACATATGCAGGTATCGAAAAAAAAAAAACCATAACGGTCTTTAATGTGAATGAAGATGATTATTTTTTTATGCAATGAGTTTTGGAGTATGATACGTAAATAAGTTGGTCTTGCAGAGAAGCCATAAGCAAATATATGAAGCACGTGGTAACAATGAGCAAGATACTATCAGAACTACTGTCAGAGGCACTAGGGCTTCCAAGTGACTACCTTTCAGGGATGGAATGCATGGAAACAGAATCATTGGTATGCCATTACTACCCAGTTTGTCCAGAGCCAGAATTGACAATTGGCGCTACAAAGCATACGGACCCTTCATTTCTTACCATATTGCTTCAAGACAATGTAGGTGGCCTCCAAGTCCTTAATCAAAACCTGTGGATTGATGTGCCTCCTCAACCAGGAGCCCTTGTAGTAAACATAGGAGACTTCTTGCAGGTAGAGCTTTCAAATATCTAATTTTTATTATTTTTTGGTTTCTTTAGGGGCTGGAACGAATTGAAAAAACCTCATTTTTGATTGATTTGGTAATTTCACTTTCTTGACTGTATTAGAATCACATTCTTCTTTTTTTTTTTTTTTTTTTTTTTTTTTTTTTTTTTTTTTTTTTTTTTTTTTTTTTTTTGGCATTTACCACCAAAAGGAAATAAAGTAAGAGCATTAGGGGAATAATTCTTTTTAACTTAAAAAAATTTGATTAAATAAGGAGAAATGAGTATATACTTAATTTCTTTTTGTTTTGAACTAATTCTGTTTGATCTTGAATTTGTCATTTTAAGATAAGTTAATTCTTAATTTAGAATGTTTAATTAAGGGGAAATCACCTTTTGAATAATTAATTTAGAATAGAAAATTTTGATTTCAAATCAATTTAACTTAAATCAAAATTAATATTATATATTTTTATGTAATAAAAAGTATTTAAAAAAAAAATAAAGCAGAAACCTATCGTCTTTTCAAATAACTTACCAAACGAATTCATAGTTCAGGGGCCAACAGACCATATTAAAAATCGTGATCTGGAAAAAGATAGGATGGGATGGAGAAGATTGAGAGTGGCCTTGGAGATAAAACGACATCTCTATTTTTGGTTGAAAAAAATTTTGTTTTTAGACAAAAATTAGACTAAATTGATCCTGACTTCAAATTTTTGCAGCTGATCACCAATGACAAGTTGAGAAGTGTGGAACACAGAGTTGTGGTTGGAGGAATTGAACCCAGAGCCTCAGTTGCATGTTTTTTCTATCCAAGCACAGCAAATAAATTTAAACCTTATGGAGCAGTAAAGGAACTTCTATCAGGCAATCCACCCATTTACAGGGAAACTCATATTAGTGAATATATGGCCTACTTCAGATCCAAGGGATTAGATGGTAGCTCAAATCTCCCTCATTTTAAACTATCATAGCTTGCTGCACAATTTCCAGACAACAAAAATTCTTGGGAACTAAACTCATCCGTAATAAAGTCATCTACTTGCTCCCTGTGACATTCTTTCTGTTCTTTTACAGTTTCAACTTTTAACAGACAGCTCAAACAATAATATCAATAAGTGCTAGTAGCAAGTTTCAGTACGTGGAAGTAAATATAGGCAAACAGGAAAAAAGATAACACTGCAAGATGGCTCACTATATTATTTCAGGATTCAACTTCCAAACAAATGATGGTTTTAAATCTGGGTAAAAAAACAAAAGATGCTAATTTCACACACTGTCAAGTAAAAGGTAAGATGTTCTTCACATATATGTTTGCCTCCATTTCCTCCTCCTTTCCTTTTTATTATCGGGAAAAGGGGGAATACAAACAAGTTTCACACCTAAAAAAATGCCCATCAAAGATCACAAATTACTCACTATTTCACAAAGGAGCAACACCACAATCTCCAAGAGCTGATTGGTGTTTGTTGCTAGTTTGAAGTCTTGGGTTGCAATATCTGCACGAGTGACCATAAGATATCCATTCTATGCATAACTCTATTATTTTGTCCCTGAAATGTAGCATAATGCAATATTAATCTCCAAAAGAGAAATTCTACAAGTAATATTTTGCATGTTATATCGAGAATTTAATGTATTGTACGCACACATTTTTACAGCTCAAATCATACAACTTGTATCACCATACTTGTTTCAACCATCACCAATATCATAGATATTCAAATAATCTTTGTTAAAAATCCAGATATAACAAAGGCATGAAAGTGAAGGAGGCTCATACAGTTCAGAGTTAACTATAACCGAATCAACCAAGTCCAATACGGATTAACAGTCAATAAACATACATACCAGTTAGCAGGACTTTGCATATAGTTCAACATGCTCTTTTAAGCCATATGAGCCTATCTCAGTGTCTTTGGAAGGGGGGTGTTAAGAGTTCAGATAGATCACAGGTTCAACCAGGAGTCCAAAAAATAAAAAAATAAAAAAATAAAATCCTTTTAATCTTACAGGAAAACAACAATGTGATTCCCCAATGGTATTAGGAATTAAACAGACATAATAGGCAGGCGACTACTATAATTCAACACAAGGATACAAATCATATAAATATTTTAACTATAAAATATTGCACTGCTAGAGATGCAACAAATCTGTAAATGCCTGCCATATTGCATCTGTATAAGCCAAATTAGTATTGAACAATAATATTATTGTTAAATCAGCCATGTATTCCAAGTGGACAAAGAGGAAGGACAAGAAAGTCTTCTTCCCCATCATGAAGAAAATTGAAATAGCAGAATCTCCCTACCTCAACCATGAAACATATCCATGTCTTCTCGCCATGCACTTCTGTAATCCCTTTCAAGATTGTCAGACCCAAGCTTCTGATAGCTTCTGCTATCTCAAGAAAATGACTGCATTCCTCACATAGCATCTGCATAGTCAATCAAGATACTTCAAAATATAGAGAATTAAAGCAGAAAACTAAGGATTGTTATGCCTCATCTTTTCTTTTCTTTCTTCTTTTTTTTTTTTATATATTTTCAAATTACTTTCTTAGAATTATTATTTTTTACTTTCTAGACAAGCAATAAAGATGCGACATAAATGAGTGTGACCAAAAGCATGGACAAACATGCAAGAAAAATACTTTAAGTGCGTTAACTTCATATTATCACAGTTTTTGCTTCAATAAAATAATATAACTAAAGCAAATTTTACAAAATGAACATGTACTTTACCTCTACAAGCATCTGCCCGTTTTTGTTTAGGTTCTCTACTACTATTGAAGAAACTTTTAGGTGCCCTCCAACCTCCACTGCCCAACTTGAACCTTTTTCATAATTTGAGCTGTCTGCTCCCTTCTGATACATCTGCAAATTCAGTACTAGGATACATATATGAAGATGTACAATATCCAAGTGACAGCTAAAATTACCACGTTGCAAAATAACAGCTTCAAGGCAATAATCCTTGTGCAGTAGCAGAGAATAGCAGGGTAAAAAAGGTACTATAGTATCAAATAATTTACCAACAGTGGCAGAAAAATTGCAAGTTCATATTAACAGGTAAATAGCCTTCTGTGAAGCGTAACTCCAGGGGCAAATAAACACAATGTACAGATCAGGTGAAGAAATCTAAATTTCCTCCATTAAACATATGGAGATCGGCTAATTCGTTGTTCACAGAAACAAGTTCTTTAAAGTGGCAGCATCATAGCTTTTACCTTAGACTCGGCACATTTATTGAGCTTGTCAGCATGCTTCGTGATACTTTCTAGAAAGAGCATGTGCTTGATTGTGCGCTCCAGCAAGGAATCAATACTGCACTGTGCAATTTTATTGAAACCTTCAGTACATATCTTGGAGGGAGTTTCATGAATAGAAATTGTACCTATCACATAACTCAAACCAGACCATAGGAAAGTTACCTTTGCCCCATTAGGCACAAGCTCTCTTAGCTCCTTAATACGATCTTGAATTAGTTGTCTGTCCCTTGGCCTAGGCCTGCAGTTTTCACCAAGTCTAGCCCTCTTTTTATTGTTCTTAGCTGGTTCAGAATGCCTATCCAACTGTTCACTGCAGATACTAGGACAAGTTGATGAAAATCCTCTAGAAGACATTGCAGCACACACTCCTGTGGAGCTTGAGCAGTTCTGTATATCCTCTTCAATAACAGACTGCTGGTTACTTGAATAACCAGCTGAATGGATGATAGGTTTAGTCTGCCTAGAAGGCTCTGGCGTTTTCTCTGTTGTTACCAGAGATTGCACTGATTTGCATACCGACCTCTCACTTTTCACATCACTGCCACTGTAGCAAACATTGCCTACTACTGCTTCTAAAAGATTTTCTGAACCAGTATCAAATGTCATCTGGCTAATACTTGTCCCCTGTGGCACCTCCACAGTGTTTCCAGGTTCAGCCTTCTCTGCATCGCAATCAAAGTACAGGCACCCTTTTGAAAAAGCTGGTCCTAGCACTTCATGCAACTCGCAGCCAGCAGAGAACTTTAAAAATGTATTTGAGGTGTCTAAGTGGCTTGGCTCAGCTTGATACTTCATCTTTTTTTCAAAATCTTTTTTCAGGTTCACATTTGATGATCCAGGCATGTTCAACAGCTCATTTAGATAATTATCTAGGCTGTCACACTTAGGTCTATCAGAAATAGTAGAGTCAAGGAGGTTAACAGGGAAGTTTGTGAGATCAACTCTGAACTTTTCACCTGGACCGATAACATCACACAAATTTATATTATCCTTAATAGAATCATCTAACTGTGGCACATTGGTTACTGATCCTCCTCCTGAATCTTTCCAAACACTAGTCTCCCCTCCACACGTGTGGCCACCTATCAAATCTACTCCTACTTGATTCTGCTTCTCCAAATAGGGAATATCTGATCTAAGTTGATGTAATTTGACACTTTCACCATTCAGTGGTGAGGATAAAACATGTACTCCATGTTTATTTACCATTTCCACTGCTGTATTATGATGTGTGCCAGGAGAGGTGCAAAAATAAGAATTATCACATTGTTTTTGTAAAAAAGGAAACATAGGCAACTGATTATTTGACCCTTCTTTATCTGCAGCTTTATCTAGATTGCATAGACTATGAGGAATGACCTCTGATTCCGAATGCAAACCCTTTGTGGATAACTCTGACTGAAAAGGGGCAAGCAGACAAATATTACCACAATATCTCACATTTATGTGTTTCATTCTATGAACAGAAAGCTGACAAACTAACTTCGAGCACACATTCACATATACAGAAAGAAATGATAAGTGAGGAAGGGATGGTTACCAGATATATAGAACTCTTCATACTATATTCTAGGGGATTAGGAACATGCCCAATTGAGGGACCTTGAAGAGATAAAAAGACATCTTTGATATGGTTTACCAGCTTCATATTCTCAGCAACCTGCTCCATTCAGAGCAAACAAAAAAAACAAATAACATTTACATTATGAACTTATGTATTCAGTTGATGTTACACAAATTTTCCAGGGGACTAACCCAGACGATTCACTAAATTTGTCACAATAAAATCTGAATCTAAAGACTCAGCAAGAAAATATATTAATAGAAAACTAGATACCTGATACACAAAGATTTTGGACCACAACATGTGAAATTATGATAAAACATATATCACTAGTTTAAGTGTGTGATTCTATAGGGTAAAAGTACACGTGATTTCCAGTTTTCAAATTTAAAGCTTTTAATACTTAACATTCCAGTTTTCAAATTCGAAGCTTTTAATACTTAATGTCACAGCAATGTTAAACACTGCTTGCTTACTTATCTATAAGAATCCACCAGCTGCGCTTTGTTATGTAAGGGTGGCCATATTACGGTTTCGGGAACCGGAACGGTCGGTTCGAACCGGTCCCGAACCGTAACCGGAACCGGAGATTTCCGGTTTGGTTCCGGTTCCAGATTTGTGGAACCGCAAACCGGCGGTTCCACAAAACCGGTCGAAACCGGATTGGAACCGCCGGTTCTCCGACCGGTTAGAACATCTTATATCTCTTCCGAATCTCTCTATCGTTAGAAAACTGTCAGTCATATGTCCCCTTCAAATCTCGGATCCACCAACTAAGAGTATTATCTTTTCTTTTTTTACCTCCCGTCTTTTGCTATTCTATCTCTTTATTTTTATTTTTATCTATATTTATCAATGCTAATGTTTGATCATCTTTTTATTTCTTTTAATTCATTTTCCCTATTTGGTTGCGTTTCTTTTGTTGTTCAAGTCTTTAAAAAATAAATTTAATTATATATTTTTTAATTTAGGGTATTTTTTTTAGAATATAAACTTCACAAAATTATTAAATTGAAAACCGTCTTCAAAATTTAAAATTTAAATTATGCGATTGCGATTTGCCGGAAAACCGGTCGGAAAACCGATCGGAACCGTCGGTTTTGAAAACGTACCGGAACCGGAACCGTTCGGTTCCAAACTGGAACCGGAACCAGAAATTTTCGGTTCAGTTCCGGTTCCAATTTTTTTGGAACCAGAACCGCCGGTTCTGGAACCGTGGCCACCCCTATTGTTATGTTATGATCCAACTATTACAAGGCCTGGAATGACAAATGATCTGCTGCCCTTCAAGCAGCAATTAGATCCCAAAAAAAGAGAGAGGAAAGATAAGAAATAATAGTCTCAAGCCCATGTTACTTTTGATGCTTCACTTTAACCTAAAAAAACAACATAAGAGAGAAATTGAATACCAGTAAAATACAACCTATGTTTCTCCAGTTCTCTATCTTATCCCAACATACCTCTGTCAAAGATGGTTAGACACCTAGAATAGAGATATGTATGTGTATGACACCAATCTCAGTTTCAACGGTATAGGTCATGTAAAATATTTGGAAGTGGCTTTTCCATTGACCAATAACTCAAATCCCCGATGTTAGCTTTGTTAAGTTAATCTAAAAAAAAAAAAAAAAAAAAAGTATCTGCATGGCGCACTATTGAGACACTCAGATCTTTGTCAAGTTAAGACTTCAAGAGGAATAAATTTGCATTTGCAACCAACAGTGTTAATTTAGCATCTAACCACCATATAAAGTGCCATAGTGTTAAAACATTGTCTTGACAAGATGAATAATAACCATTGCATGAACAGAGTCAAAGATTTAATAACCATGGATGGATTCAAAAATGCATGAAAAAGTTGGTCAGAAATAGCCTTACTTTATTCAAAGACCCAAGCTGTACAACTCCATATGGAACAACAGCTACAACAACAATGGTCTGCAGAGCAAAGGAAGATATCTCCATCTATATCATTTGATTGTAGAAATAAAATAATCAAAGAAACACAACCATCACCATGCGAAATTTCTTTTTTTTCCCCTTATTTCTGATTTTAACAGGTCAGAACTTCAGACAATTACAGACTGTGCTACACTGTAGTCATGTTCACACCAACAAGATGATCACAAGAGCAAAAACAAGCTAAATAAAAAAAAAAAAAAAAATCTCTCAATAATCACAATCTTGAAGTCAATGTACAACAGCAAAGCAAATTTAAAGCAGGAAATTCACTGTTCTATCCCATATAGTGATGATGATAGACAAGAATATTAAACACCAGTAAGGTTGCAGGGAAAGTATGAACTAATGATACGAAAATCAAAGAAGGCACACCTTGATCCCAGCTGAAAACTGACTTTGCCAGCCATCAGAGAACTGAAAATTTAATCCCAAGAAAGTACGAGGATTAGGAAAAAGATAAAACAAAAATTTCCTACAGTACTTTGATAATTATTCACTTTAACATTTTAATTAGCAATGAAAAACAAAAGTAACCTGAACTTATTGCATTAGAAGAATAACCCTAACCTCAAATGATGAGATGGAATTAGTTACACGCTTATCTGCAAAGATCCATCGGTGTTTTCCAGTGACAGCTACCTGTCCTACAATCCTGCAAAACAAAGCATGAACCCATCCCAAAATCAACAAGATCGGCATATGGATACTTCATGTGACTGACAAAATCGTACTTAAATTTAAAAAAAAAAAAAAAAAAAAAAAAAAAATAACGCTCATTCATTATCTTAGTGTTCGTATTCAATGGAAAAGAATAATATAACGATGTAAAAAAAAAAAAAAAAAAAAAAAGTATCTACTTAGCGTATCAATGGAAAGAAATTCATGTAGACATCATAACAAACAGGAATATAAGGCATACTCAAAAAATTTTGACACCTCCTATTCACAGTGCTCACAGAGTTGTGTGATCGAATGTAAAATAAAATAAAAAAATAAGCAAATCCATCCATGAATAGAGCCATACCCTTCCCCAAGAGAATATACGTGATATGACATCTTTGCCACAGCTAATCCAAGCGGGTCATGCGAATACCGCCCACAAGACAAGTTTTCTAGTGTCTCTCTGAAGCACTTATTCTCGAAGGGATCATCTAGCTCACAATTGTCATAGTAAGCATCTTCCCAAGTTAACACCCTGTGACATTAAAATATTAAAAACAATGAGAAAAGAGCTCAAAGCACATTTTATTGGTGTTTAACCTCAACAAGTACTATCTTCTTTGCACATAGTTGCTATATCCTGCTAATTATTGCAGTATTTTATAGAGAGTTATAGAAAATTAAAAATAATAATAATAATAATAATAAAAAAAAAAAAAAAAAAAAAAAAAAAAAGGAAGACGATCTCAAAAACTTCATACCGATAGAGATAGTTAAAAACAGTAGAATTATATTGCTTCGCAGAAACCCTTCTAAACTAAAATTAAGCCAACACTAGCTATATATACCAATCAATAACATTTTGACATGAATCTCCTTTTTAAACAAAAATGGACACAACGAAGCACTAAAATGGCCATCCAACCACCTTTTGTGCACTAAATCTTAAAAAAATTTGATCTATAACTCATAATAGAGCATCAAGGCATAAACCACCAAATAGCTACAAATAATCAGCTGTTAAATATTACTCACAATTAGGAAACACCATATTTGTAACAAGATTTATTTATATAAAAATAAAAAATAAATATTAAAGAAAAACACTTTTGCTTACTAGTTTTACTACTAATAAGCATCAAGAAAAAAAAAAAAAAAAAAAAAAAAGAAGACATCTCAAAATTCTACGATAGAGATAGTAAAACAGTAGAATTTATGCTCAAAACCCTTCTAAACTAAAATAAGCCAAACAGCTTTATACAATCATAACATTGACATGATTCTTTTAAAACAAACTGGACACAACGAAGCACTAAAAATGCACCAACCTTTGTGCACTAAACTTAAAAATTTGCTTACCATAATAGGCATCAAGGCATAACCACCAAAGAGCTAAATAATCGCTTGTTAAATATACTCACAATTAGAAACACCATTGAACAAGATTATTTATAAAAAATAAAAAATAAAATAAAAAAACACTTTTGCTTACTAGTTACTACAATAAGCATCAAGGTATAACCATCCAAGAGATAATCGCTAATTATATATATGTGCCCACAATTAGAAAGACCATGAAACAACATAAAGAAAAAAATACATACATGCGAGCTCGATGCTTGAGCTTCCAAAACACAGCATACTTCCACTCAGTGTTGAAGCAGAGGCCCTTCAGCGTATTATGCAAGTCAGTACCCATCCTCTCTCAAAATTCCTAAAACCACCCCACCCACCCTAATACGAAGCACCACCACCACCACCAAGCTTGTCAGTTAAATAAGACCAACCCCCAAATCAAAAACCCTAATTTCTCACCAAGCTAGCTTCCTCTGTAAGAGCCTCTTCCTGCTTGTTTTCTCCTTAACCCAGCTCGTGCCTTTATTGGTGGTCCTCCTGTATCCAAAAGCAAACGATCCCTACCCATTCCTCAGACCACCACCCCCGACAAATAAGCTAAACCTCCTTTACTACCTTACACCAAAAATCTCAAAATTGAAAACAAAGCACCAAACTTGCAAGATCGATGACAAAGATTTCAGAGCAGAAATAGTTACTGCATTTAGCCATTGATTTTGTTCAAAAAGAAAAAACTTCCGCTCTCAAAATCAATCTAGAAAGAAAAATTATTGTGAAAAAAAAAGAAATCCTCTAGCTTATGTCGGACGACATGGATCGCTCAAATTCTAAGCTCAATTTTGCAAAAGATATAGAATGAACCCAGAAAAATTCAAGCGATTTCTTTAGTTTTCACTATTCAAAGAAGCTGTGGAAACAGAGAGCAAATGATTACAGCTTCTTCAAAAGGCCGAGTAAAAATTGAAGCTTTTTCGTTTAAGAGTAATGAGAATTGAAGTAAAGTATGAAACTTTCAGCTACATTTCATGTGTATGACTTATAAATTAATAGAAAAAATGAAAGATGATTAAAAAAGGAAGCTTTTTCCGCTGGTTTTAGAGAGAGAAAGAGAAGCTTCAATGGCTTTTTCGCTGAATAGAGAGAGAGGAAAGTTTTTTCTTAAGCAAACAACAACAATTTTATTTTTCAGTTGAGTTGATTAATTAGGCTTTTTATATGCAGCCGCTATTTTGCGCTTCCTGTTCACTTTAGCTTTTTTGACAAAATTGGTAATGCCGCTTTCTCTTATCCTGCGCACACTGCGCATTTTAGACCTCTTTTGCTTCTTGTCTTCAACAATTTACACAAAAGGAGAAGCACAAACCAACACTAACAAAGAGGCTAAAAGAAGGAACCAAAAACAAAAACAAACAGTTGCTTTGAGAGAATAGGGTTTTGGGTTTTTTGGAGTTTTGAGCAAATATATTTATGGAACCATCAAAATGGGTTATGAGTACACTTTCTAAGTAGTGTCATTTTATGGCCAACAAAATGATTTCTTGGAGAAGAAAATGCTCCTTATCTTTCCATACACAATATTTATCTTTTTTTCAAAAAAAAAAAAAAAAATAATTCTTTGCATACCATACATTTCTCAATCACCCTTTTTAAACCCAATGAACTTACCCTTCTCATGGCCCTTTTCAACAATCATTTTATTACCAAAAAGTTGTGACACCTAAACCTTCTCTTGCCATTGTCCCCATTTTCACATTGTTGTAAAAAAAAATAACAAAAATAAAGGTTAGAATTAATTAATTTAAACCATCTTATCTTCTCTTCTCTTTCTTTCTTTTTTTTCTTCCACTACTAGCTTGTTTGGTGCTCATTGAGTAGCATTTGAGAGTGATGATTGAGCATAGTATTGCTATTTCCTTTCAATTGGTTTAGATATCTAGCTAGAATTTCAATTCAAGGGTCATGTTTAGCATAATGTTTTCTTCTTATGATATGAGATAAATTCAAAAGTGTATAGGACTAAATAAAATTTTAATCTATAGATTTTTCTCAACTAAATGACTATAGTACCAATATTGAATAAGGTTACTAATGGAAAATTATTTTATTTAACTATTTAAATACATTATAATGGAGAGAAAATTATAAGTGGAGAAATTTTGGCTCTTTTAACGTTTATATGCTATAAAAAATTAGGTTAAAAAAATAAAAGGTTGACTCGGTTATATTAGAATTACCTTAAGTTTTATGAGTTAAACTTCATATCTCTAATCAAAAACCGAACAACAAAGGAAAGCAAGAAGTCTATCAATTAATAAAACACAACAAACAAATTACATTAATTTGTAGTATATAATTCTCATATTAGGTCATGCAAGTGAACATTCAATGTGACAAAAGAAAAAGATTTCCCAACCGGAGTTCAAATTAATTAGGTTGATTTATGAATTAGAGAAATTTAGGATTATTTGATTTATTTGATGATGATAAACTATATTCTAAAGATTATAAAACCCTAAATAGAATTAGTAATTAAACTTCAAAATGAGCCATACTTTGGAGAGGCAGATATTATAACATGATTCAAATTGGAATTTAATTTGCATGTGAATTATGATCTTATGACATATTTATGAACTAATGTTTCTTGCACCACACCAACTCAGCATCATTGTCCGAATCCCATGATTTGTGTTTTAACAGTGGGGATCGATCTTGAGTGATTATTATTGCTATTGATTTCTAATCATTTTATTCTTTTTTTTATTTTATTTTCTTGGGTTTTTTTTTTTTATTCTTTTGCGTTACAAAGAGAGTTATAATTTAAAATAAATAAATTAAGTTGGATTTACTGATGATTATGAATAACTGTACAAGAAAAAGGAGTAGTTGAGAGGGAGAAAGTGAAAATGATCGATCACATTATGAATCCTCGAAAACAACCACCTATCGGATGTTTTGCTTTGGCCCAAAAAAGATTCAATTTGTCGGAAAATAAATGAATAAGTCTTAACCTTAGTTCATTACTAATTTTCTATTAGGCATAGTCATGATTTACTCAATTGTGTATAGTTCTTGTTCATTGCTAGTTGTACTTAAATTACTAACTAGTAAATTAAAAATTTTAGGAATTTACCATATATGTATATTTAACTTTTTCGGATTTTACATTTGTGATTATTACTCTTGAATATGTAACGCTATATATTATATTACCGCTTTTTGCTAATTTGGATGCTTTTATATTTTTTTTCATTTAAACAACGCTTATAAAAATCAATATAGTATTAATTATTTTATTTCAGTTTTACCCTTATCTAATATTTCTATTATATTTTTTCTCTCTTAATTATAAAGAATTAATGGAAAGTTAATATAGGAAATATTCTTATTTTTTATAGAATCGAGCCGTTTAATTTCTTTTATAAGGTAATATAAATATAAATTATTGACTTTATTGCTAAATAAACGTGTTGTTATTGTATTTGTCCATTAATTACTTATCATAATAATAGTCTATAAACCAACACATGGTTAAAAATTTTCCAAGAAGTAAAGAAGGGTTTTGTTCTCCACTTGTCTCATTTGTCATCATCTAAAAGGAAGATTTTCAAGTTAGGTCAAAACATTAACTTATCAATATCATCATGCAAAAATTTGATTATTGAATTGATTATTTTGATATATAGTGAAAAGATTGAAATACTTAATTTGGACGGTCATTAATTGTTTGGGGTACTATTAATTAAGATTGATTGATAAAAATAATTAATTAATGGGTATTTAATTTAGATGCTTAGGGAGTAAAGTCAACTAGGTTAAGCATAGTTAGTGATGGAAATGATAAGTCATTTTCCCATGTATATAAAATAGTGAAAGAAATGAGTATGATCATGAATTATGCTAAGGGACAAACAATAATCATTTCTTTAGCCTATTTTCTAATGAAAAATGTAATATTTTTCAATTAATTTCTTATTTGAATAATTCCATTTCATGCACTCATCCCATATGAGGTAAGTATTATGTAATGTTGCAAATCACAAAGGAAGGAATGAAGTGACAATTTTCTCTTTATAGATAATTGAAAATATTCTTATTCACTAAGCTTCTATATATAATTATTTAAAATTTTGTGGTTATTTATTTTTTTTTTTTTTCAATATAATATAAGTGAATTTATTGAGTTACTTTTCTTTCTTTTTGTTTTTTAAAGAAAAATATATATTGAAGTCCCTGAAGTTTTACTTATTAATTAAGTCCTTAAATTTTATTTTATCAATATTAAGCCTATAATTTTTATTTTTTTAAGTCCTTATTTAATTGAGAGTTAGAGAGTAATAATCACAGACATGTTTGATTTAATTGAGATTTTCCTTATTTTTTGTTAAAATTAAGCCTCAGAACTTGTATTTATTGACATTGAGCCCCGGAAATTTTATTTTTATTAAAATTATACCTTTAATTTTTAATGAAAATTTTTCACATGGCATGTTATTATCGAGTATATTTCTCGCTGTTAATAGGGATGGCAAAAATCGACCGACCCGATGGATATGCACCCGACCCAAACCCAATCAAACCCGATTTTTAGGATTTTGACTGAGTTTGGATAGGGTTTGGGTAAAACCTGAAAGTTTCGTTTTGGATATGTGTAGGGTATGGATATTGTTATTATAAACTCAAATTCGATCCTGAACTCGATCCAAACTTTTGGATTGGGCAATACCCGAACTCGATACCCAAACCTTGAGAGGTTTGAAAATTAATTATTTTCTTTAAATTGTATTATGAAATGTTTAATAAAGTAAAATAATTGTAATTTGAATAATTTAAATTAATTTGAATTTTGAATAATCTAAATTTATTTAAAAATTTTGAATTTTATATTTTAGTATATATGTTATTTATTGTAGATTGAAATTACTATTAGTTAGCATGAGAAATTGAAAAATTCTTATTGGGTAGAGTCTCTCTTTTTTTCTCCTTTCTCGCAAAAATAAAAACATTTTATCAAAAACTTCAACCCAAGTAATAGTTACAACAGAGAGTTAATTTATCAAATATTTCAAAGCAAGCGGTGTCAAGTAATCCTCGTCTTCGTTAATTTATCAGTTGAAGAGTATACTATTATTACTCTTGAGTGACACATTAAGATAAGAAGAGCAATTTTGTAATTAAAATTTTAATTTATCATTTTTTAAACATTGATTTATGTATTAATTTATTTTCATATTTTTAAGGGAAAGATATTTTCATTCTTTTAAATATTTTATTTATTGATTCAATATAATCTAATTTTTTAAACAATTTGATTATATGAGTAAATAGGTATTTGTGGGTAATAGATATCCATAAGTACCCATGGATAATGGGTACCCATAAATATATCTGAACCCATTAAGTTTAGACATAGGTATAATATTCTCTACCCGATAGAATACTGGGTAGAGTATTGGGATAGAGATAGGGTTTGAGTTTGGATACAAGGACTGCACTATCCGACCCGAATTCTACCCATTGCCATCCCTGACTATTAAAGACTTGGATTTGCTGATTTATTTTCGATCAATTTACCAAAAATAAAAGTTGAAAGACTCAAATATCCACATCAAAAGGTTTCTTATACAAAATTCAATGCATTTGAGGGTCTAAACATAAGTTCTGCCTTCTTTTTTTTTTTTTTTCCCAAAAACATTCTTTCTCAATATTTTAAAAATAAGACTAATATCGTTTGGGGTTCAGATAAAGGTTTAAATATGAGCTTTGCTTTTTTTTTTTTTTTTTTTTTTATATTAATTATTCTCTACACCGATCTAGAAATACTGAGGTAGAGTATTGGATAGAGAATTAGGGTTTGAAGTTGGATACAAGGACTCACTATCGCGACCCAGAATCTAGCCATTGCCATCCCTGACTATTAAAGACTTGGGAATCATGAACTGATTTATTTCGCCATATCAATATTTATCCAAAAATCATAAAAGTTTGAAAGTACATCCATAAAAACAAAATATTTCACATCATCCCAAAAGGTTTCTTATACAAAATTCAATTGCATTTGATAGAAGTCATTATGAACATAAGCTTCCTTGCCTTCTATTATTTCTCTTTTTCTCCTCTCACAAAAAAATTCTTCCTTCAAATATTATATCAAAAAATAAGTCACTAATATCGTTTGGGGTTCTTTAATGTTTGAAGTGCTATATAGATTTTATTTTTTATTTTTTTTTTATTGAACAGTTAATTAATAGATTAATAAATTAATAATATTGATTTATAATTTAAAGTGATTTTTCACGGTCTCTTTGTTTGTATTCATACTCTTTCGCTCACAAAAGAGTCATACCGTGGATCGCAGGGATGATCCTAT